GATACAAAAATCTCTTTTTTGTTGACTGTATGACTCATCTATTTTAACCCAAAATTCCGAAGAGACCACGGCGATGAAAAAGATATAAAAGGAACCAGTAATTTGTAGCTAGAAGTTCAATCAACAATTATGGTTAACCAAAATAACTTTGAAAAAATATTAGAAAATGGAATCTATATTCATGAGCGAGTAAACAGTTTAAGACAATGGTATAATAAGAAAACACAAGAATTTGATGACATCTTTGAGGAAATGCAAAGACTTTGTAAAAATATACTGAATCTCATTTCACAATGGGATCAATTTAATATGAAACACTCTATTGGCGCGAGAATATGTATTGAAGGAATGCATATAATTGCATTAGGGGAAGTGATACAGATAGGAATAAAGTCAGATACAACTGAAAAACAATTGAAAGAAAATAAAGAAAAAATAGAAGAAATGCAACAACTCCTAAGTGATAAATTAAGAAAAATAGTTGAATTTTATAAACAACAACGAATTAATCATTTAACACAAAGTATAAAAGGAGGAATTCAAAAAAAACTTGAAGAACAATGACAACTATTGAGGAAATCCAAATAATGAAAATTTATGGTTTGGACAAAAAGACAAAATCAATTTTAAAATCACAAGAATTGAAAGGATTAAGAGAAAGAATAAATGAAAAGATGAATATCATGACAGATATTGAAAAGGAATTGGCAGAATTAATAAAGAAAAGGGATAATAGTGTATTCTTTAAGAATTACTATCAAAAGAAAATATCAGAAAAAGAAGAAGAATGGTATAAATCAAAATACTCTGAAAATTGAAAAGAATATTGAATAAATAAAAAGAACTTCATATCACAAAAAAGTATAAAAGGACAAGAAAAAACAAAACCTCAGGACGACAGTAATAACTTCAAAGAAAATGAAAATGACAAAACAAACCATGGAAAAAGATCAACAAACAATTTTAGCTATAGGATATGGTGTTAAGGAAATGATAGAAAATACA